ATTGGTAAGTGATCCCTGTGCTTAGTAGGATTTTTGTGTTTTTTTTTTGGTTTTTTTTGTCAGTCAAGTAGTTAAGCACAATGATATCAGAACGTTATAATGTAATCTGATTTCAAAAGAGGTCTGTCATTATAGCTTTAAAAAAGTTAGTATTTTTATTATATAATTTTAATATATTCTTTATTTTAACCTTACTTGAATTTAAAATTTATAGTCATAAGAATATTGTCTGAAATGTATGATACTATCTCTTTTGGGTTAATTGGAGTTACATATTCACTAATATTGACAATTTGGTTTAGGTTTTCTATGCTTTGACCTTTCGAAGTTTTCAAAATGGCAAAAAATTCTTTCATTATAACATGGCTAGTATTTGCATTTGCCAATGCTTTTGCGGCTGCACGTTTTTGTGCATTTTGCTGATTTTTTTTCTCCCTACACTTTGAACATGTTTTAGTCATTTTGTTATTTTTTAAAAAGGCTTCAACAGGACGAAATTGATCGCAACCACCACAATGTTTTTGTTGTTCAATAACAGATTGTGCTTCTATATTTTTTAAAATAATGAATAATATATAATAAGTCGATTTATAAATTTAATTAAGGTGAGAGTTGCTTTTGAATATTTATAATAAGTTTTGGTTTTTACTTAATTATTTATTAGAATTTAAAATCTGAAGCTTGATTTAAGACCAAAAAAACTTCATTTATATATATTTTTAATTTATTTAATGATTAATATAATGCTTCTACGAAATTAAATTCGATAATGGTCTAACTGAATGAAGTAAAAAATGCAACCTAAGATATTCTGTTCGTTCATATTCTATAGTTAATGCGACGAGTCTGTAAGAATTTAATTCAATATCCAAATAAAGAATGCAAGCTAAGGTAATATATAATTACTATTCCTTCGTCTGTATTAGGGTCAAATTTGCCCCTAATTTTAAGAAACACTTAAAATTTTTAAATAAAATTTTAAATTTTAATTTTAGCAATATATTTTCTATGTAAAAAATATATTTTAAAACCTTAAACAACTTTATTAAGAAAATTTTTTAAAAATATTAAAAATTTTTGAATAAGGCCGCACAAAATTATATAATTGGTTTTTATATTATGGGACAGTGATCAGTGACGCGGGTGCATGGCTTTTTTTTTATAGTAAAAAATTTTTTTCTCATAGCTGATATCTGGCTATATATTTTCAGGTTTCACATTATCAATAGCAGGAGCGATCGTTCAACTATTCCGATATAGTTACACAATTGATAAATAATCTTTTTTATACGTTTTCAATACTTTTTTTAAAGCTCGGGTAGCTTAACTTTCTATGAAATGAGGGTAATTTACAGATGAATTTATGCCTTCACTTCAGCTTATAACATATCCTTTGAATCCTCGTGAATTCCACAGCCTTTTTTTATAATCTGATTGGCTGATTTACTAAAATTTGAGATACGATTAGTTGATAATCATGTGTACCTATAACAGAAGAATCTACGAATTTAAACAGTTACTTCTGTTATTACCAACTGATCTTTTATAACTGCTGTTCTAGATTTTTCTGTTATTTCTAGTAGGATCTTTTGCAATATAGGGTAACTAATAGTTAGGAGTAAGTTATGACCTATATAATAAAATAATTATAATATACCAGATTTGGGTTATTCAGATCATTCGAAGCACTAAATGCAATGGTGGACAATGAATTTTAGAATAAATATAATTGCATTTGAAACTAGTAAGTTGATTGATTTATGTATAGACATTTGATCTTGTTAAAAAGCCTACAATATTCTTACAACAAAAGAAATAACTTAAAAACTGTTAAAACAAATTTATACTAGGCTGAAACTTAGATATTGTTATGGGGTATATTTAATATATAACAATAATATGAACTAGAGGAAATAGGATAAGGCAACTTACCAGAGACGTGACTATGGTAATTTGGATCTTATAATAGTTTATTATAGTGATTCTTATGTGCTTCTTCTCACATATAAGAGTCACAACCAATCATTCTCAATGTTATATACTTTAAATAACTTTTTTGAAGTATAATTTAAAAATGCTTTGATCATTCCTTCTTAAAGTGCTTGTTTGAATCTTTCCTTAAAATTTTAACACATTGCAGCACATATCTTTCAATAAGAATGTTTAGCTTCACATCTATTTACTCAGCTAATATTATCAATTTGGCTGACAAACCTCATATGTCATAACCGAAGGTTCAAAACCTGGATATTTGTGGCTTCTTAATTATTTGTATACAGGATTTATAGCACAGTTTATTTTTGAAAATATCAGTTTTTACACAATATAATAACTTAAAGTGAGACATCTTCCAAGAGCATAGATGAATAAAATAAAAATTAATTTTGATTATAAAAAAGGTATTTATGTATTTAATTGGATATTATCTAAATTTATGAATCTTACCTTTCGAAGACAAATCAATTTTATTCTTTGCATTAGAAATTAAGGTTAGGGTCTGGCATGGGCCAGCCCGTTAGGTCCATTGGGCTTTTTTTTGAAAGGCCACATTTCATATTGCTAGTCACATAATAATTTATTATATGACTGGCAATTTTAGAACATGGCTCAAATTAGCTTTCAAAAAAAGCCCAATGGGTCTAACGGATCAGCCCATGCCAGACCCTATTAGAAATGAACCAAACTATACCTAGAAATCAATAAGATTTTGTAAATTTCATTAATCAATGTAGCAGATCATAATGAAATCAGATTATAATGAAATTTAACTTATTTTATATACGATTTTTAAAAATTTTTGGGACCTTTTTAGTTAGGTTTTTTTTTATAGTTAAGTTAGGATTTAGGTTAGAATTATTAGAAAAAGAGTATAGGTGGATTTTGGTAAAGCTTATATCTTTAAATTGAGACCCCTAAATTTCACAATGATCTGATTTCATTATAATCTGCAACAATCAATAAACACTCAAATTTCCGATCACAACCAACATAGTTATCTCAAAAACATTGCTTGGACTCCTTCTACTACAGAGGCTACACATATTTTATGTCATTTTTTAATTGTATTTTGATTTAATTAATAATTATAATGATTTGTTCATTGATGATTTTGGCAGCTAAGCTAGGTGGATTAAATGCAATAACTATGAGTGCCACCAAGAAAAAACCTGAATTCAAAAATTATAGTTTATTATTCGGCAAACTTATCCTTGAAAAATCATCGGTGATTGATCAATGATGACAGTCTTTTAATATGCCGATTAATTATATAATCAAGACGCATGATACCAAAATGACTAGAAAACTGTCATTATTGATGAATCACTAATGATTTTTCAAAGGGCAAATTCGCCAAATAATAAAATAAAATTTCCAGAACCTTGGCGGCACTCATATATAAATGGGTTTCTTTTTTTGAAATAAATCAAATGATTCTAGTTCAAGTTACGTATTATGAGTGCTGATAAAATAAGCTTCATTATCATTTATTGGAGTTGAGTATATGCTTTCGATTACGCATATATAGTATCTTGCTGATTAGCATTTAGACGGTAATCATTACGATAGGTCAATACAAAAAAAAATTGAAATTAGAAACTGAAACTGTCACTTTTCGCCAGAAATCAACGGTTCATTTTGTTTTGTCACATGATATATATAGAATATTTCTATTTGTTAATATATTAAAAAAAATATTTTTGATTTTGACACGGCCGGGATATGAAAACTGAAAATATAAGTTTTTATAGCCTTATTTATACACTTTAAGTACTTTTTTAGAACGCAACATTTACTAACAAAAAAATCATGGTAAATTTCTATCTCTAAATGAACATAAATCTTATAGTATTAAACTGTTAGATTAGAAGCATAGTTTTAGATTAAGTAGTAGGTCAATAATATGTACTGTCATTTTTTCGCATATGAATTTGATCTTTTATCACATGATTGTTGAATGAAGAATTTTTATTGGTTGACTATATAAAAAAAAAAAATTCCAATCCTCACTTTGTTGACGCGGGCGGGATATGAAAACCAATTATATAAATTTGTGTGGCCTTATTATAGTTTGATAATCGTTTCAATGATAGCATGCATTTCTTCTACTGGTATTTCTGTCGCAGCTTTCGTTACCTATTATATAAACGGTCAGCCAAAGATATCAATATTTTTTTGTAAATAAACATATCATGTACCTCATTGATTTCGGTCATTGCTTCTATCACGGGCAAAGTTATAAAATTTGATTGTTCTTTTTTAGATCGCAGCTCAGACATCAAATGTTCATTTTCTTGACTAATCTGAAATGTGATGCCGTTAATTTCAGTCAAAAATTTTTATTTAATAAATTTATAAAAGTACCTTTAAAAATTCACTTTCTAGACGTTTTATTTCATTCTCTTTTAGTGGTATCGTTTTAGCACGGATAATTGTTTTTGGGCTCAAATTATACCTAATAATATGTATATAACTCTCAACAGCGCAAGCACACAAGAATTTCGCTTCAAATAACATTTTAAAAACTTACATTGATGTAGGTTGAGCAGAATTTTGACCGTCTTTTTCCCGTTGTTTTGCCTTTGCAATAAGCGCGTCAAGTTCGTTCAACTTTTCTGGTATATTACGTTTTTTCAAAATAAGTTTGAATTCTTCCTTGAATGAGAGTAAGATCAATATACTAATAGTCAATCGCAATGCATATTACAGACTTCTTGCTAACCTCGACATTCGTTCTCAAAAATGTTAAAACTTGAGTATGAGCATCATTAAGGCGTTTCGGTTTTTCTCTTGCTAAAGTTGGAAAGCACTGTGCCACCTTTGCGTAACTTTTAATAAAAGTCAGAACAAAAAGACATGTAACTAACTGAAATGAGGCGCGACTAAGCAGACCTGAAGTTGTTTAATGTTTCTGATAAACATTTTTCTAAAAGTTTGTTAAGAGACCTTAAACGTGGCCCTTCTTGTGGCTGAGACATGTTAAATCTTGGTTAAAAAAAAAAAAAAACTGATCATATTTATTTTGATAGTCATGTGTATTATAGAATAGTGACGACCGATTCCGCCCGTGATAAAATTTAAATTATCGTTATGCAAAATTTATAATTTGCTTTTTCCATACAATTATTTAAAGACCTTATGTTATTTACATTTATTGCGATTTGTTTTATTAGAAAAGTAAAGAGTTTTCTGATAGATTCGATCAGGTGTAACGTGATAGTCAAAACAAACATGTTTTGTTTTCGAAGTAAAAAGTTACGACAAAATTAAAGAAAACCGTGTTATACAGTACGGGACAGCAGTGGGACAGCATAAAACATCATAACTTTTTTACTTTCATTTAAGCAACAAATTAATTAATACAGAGATACCTCTTTAAGTGCACCCCCCATAAACAGTGTTGGCTATTTTAGGTCATATTCAACTTTATATGACCAAGGTGGTTATAATGTAATAGTAAATTTTATAAGTCATAACAGGTCATAAGGTCATAACAGGTCATAGGCCAACACTGCCCATAAATTCATTCTTTATATAAATCTCTTTAAGTGCATGGTGTAGTCTGGTCCTAGCTTATATATTTTGCTCTTTATAAATGCACACCCTCTTTAAATATATATTTTTGAAATTTTTTACTATAGTTCCTAGGGGGATGCATTTAGAAAGATTTCTTTATATAACAAGGTTTTTGCAGTTTAATACCAAATACAGTCATTAAAAAAAGCCCAGGTGCATCAACAAAATTACTATATAATTTTAGCTTATGTGATGATTGATGATGATTAACAACAACATTGTTGTCATCTCTTCTTTACTAAAGTTTTAATTTTAGTCACAGTCAAAAAAATGTTAATCTGTTTAATTCATATTAACATTGTAAAAAACAATTAGCTTATCCACCCACCCTTAATAATAATTAAAAATTGTTATTAACCTACCTGTCCACTTCTATCCACCCACCTTTGATAATATTACAATTAATATTAACATTAATGTTAACATTAATATTAATGTTAATATTAATTTTAGAACAATTATAATTATTAACTGTATATTAATAACGGGGTATATTAATAACTTACCTTAGGTTACTAATTAAATTTTGAGTATATATCATATGATTTAACAAATATCTGACATAACAGTTATCACGTGATAATCAGCCAATAATAAATAAGGTCACCTGACATATAACCTACACATTTTTACTCGGGTCACCTGCTCACCCACAAGTAACCTGGTTGTTATAGTGCTAGGACAAAATTATGTTGATCATAGTTAGTGTCAGTTAAATTTAATACAGCTAAATGATTAAATATATAAGAAAATTTTGAACAGTTTTAATTCTTTAATTCCTAACCAGACCTACTAAATTGCCTTTTATATAAAAGACTTCTTGGGCAATTTTATTATATATAACACTCTATATATAGATCGTGAAAATAGCTACAGATGTAAGCTAAAAACTATAATACATCTAACTTAGCATTAGATCCATCCATAAGATTATATTACTATCATACTGCCAAATTTTTTTATACTAATCATTCTAATCCACAGTCTAGGATCATAAAAAAATTTTTTTTTTTAACAGCTGCTCAGATATGTAGGTATCGAGGCAACTTTTATATCTAATCGGACATGTAATAGACCCGGTTACAGTCACATGTTCGATCAAGAAAGAGGCAATTCTAATTTAGTTAGTGACGTAAATACGTATAAGCATTGTTGGTAATTGAGTAAGTATGAGGTAATGGTTTTGTAAAGTATTAGTTATTAGTAATATCGATCACCCTAACCTCTAACCTAACCCAAAAATATTTGATTAGAGTTTGATTTTCAAAAATCTTATTTCAATTAACAGTATGTATTCAAAGTACATAGCATTTTGTACATTAAACACAGCATTAAATACAGGCACAACAAAAACTTATCAAACAAATAAAAAGCTACGAATTTATAATTGCAAAATTATATCAAATAGCAGAAATTGTAATTTCATCCACAAGTTCATCTGCTTAATTTAATAAAGTCATTTTTTTAAAGCACAATTTCGAGAATTATGATACCATAACTTACATATACCAAACTGACGCTTGTTTTTCTTTTTTGATCCTAATTCTGATGTTTCAGCTTGATTACTCGAACTACTATTTTTGCTATTATTTTCCTCAATCGCCATTAAGTATCTTTTGTTTGCAGGACGGCCTTTACTTTTATGCTGATGTGTATTTGAAATACTAAATTCGTCATTTTCCTGATTTAACTCTTGTTCAGATATATTTTCATTTTGTACTGAAATTTGTTCATCAATAAATTGTTGTAAAATATCTTCCAAAGTCTTATTAGAACCATTTGTGATCGCTATATTTAGAGCCATTTTACAAAGTCCAAGACCATGACCATCAGAAACTTTTTTCGAATCTAATTCTACAACATTTCTAACATCAATCTCTTGTCCACGAATCCTTTGTAATACTTGAAATGTACTAGTTGGAAGTAGTTCACCTTCATTTTGTACTACCTGAACAGATGATCCTTGATTGTCTAATGCCGCAAGACCTTCTTTGGAATATCAGCAAGAGGAAATCAGCTTCATATTGAAGAGTGCCTTTTTTGATTATATCATAACGGAAAAGAAATGTTGACAAACAAATCCAACATATATTAAATATAGACATATACAATAGTGTGTACTATCATCAAGCAATAAAACTAATTGTGAGTGATCCGTTGTACATTAAATATGTCTGACTTCCCAAATTTCATTCACGCTGATTCTATGATAATCTTCTAAGGCTATGTCTAGTAAAATTTGTGGTTCTTCATAATCGTCTTCTATAAATTTCACATTATGACAATCTGACTTCTAATTAATAATATAAATGCAATCTTTACTTTATAGTACAATAAACAAGTAGAGCATAAAAAAGAAAAAGAAAAAAAAAAAACTTTCCTGATTTGTAGCTCTATTAACTTCATTAGCACGTATTAAAGATCTATATAAAAGACTTTCTATCATTTGCCTCCACTGTAAAGCTAATGAATTCGGTATAAGATGTGCCTTACACATATTGTCAATATCTCTAAAAATTGTATTAGAAATATGAGGAAGGCCTGTTGTAGGATTTATATTTCAAAACTCTTGTAACCTTGTATATTTAGTTTCATCTTTGAGTTGCAGCTCAATTTCTGATTGAAGCTGGTATAAAAAGTTTTCAGAGTTTGCTTCTAATTTTATTATACGGTTTATACTTTCTATATGCTGTGTTGAGTGAGTATTTTCATTTAGTGAAAGCATGAGCCCAGCACTCTTTTATTGGATACAATATCCGATCACAATACCTTTGAATCTTGAGATACCTGTTCATTAAGTCCACCCAGCGATGATCAAAATTAGATACAACAAGTGAATTTCTAAGTGCATAAAAATCTGAGATAAACCCATCCCATTTGTTGTTATTAGGCTTTTTTTTAACCTTTTTAACCAGATTTTGCCGAATATGAAATGTGCAGTGCCAAATGATAGTTTCAGGATAATAATTAGATATGGCTACTTGCATCACCGGATCTGCATCTGTAAATATTGTCATTGGTTGAAGGTTACTAGTAGCCAATTTAGTTTGTTCCAAAATTCACTCATAAGTTGATACAGTTTTATTGCAAACTACAGCTGTTGCTACAATTTGGCTTCATTAATTTGAGTCAATTATGATAAATACGCTTAAAGGCATCATATATTTGTTGGTTTTACACGTGTTGTCATTAATGACAACGTCGTGAAATCTAGACCACAACCTTTTTTGTTTAAAAGATATCCAAATTATTTTTGAAAGTCTATTATCGATGCCTTCAAAATCAACTTTAAAATATCAATCCGGATTTTCTTGCTATAATCTTACTAGAGATTCATACAAAGTTAAAGCATCATTTTTATTTTGAGTATCAGCCTTAAATCTACTTATCATGTTATAAAAATCCCTATTGTAAATTTCTTAATCAGAAAACTTATTTTGTAATATTCGCTTTAATACAGTCATATCCAAATGATATTCTTGGACATAAAACCTAATCTCTTCTTTTATATTGGTAGGTATTTTTCATAACAATGGTGAAAATTGAAGCAAATTACTGTCTTTTAATATGTGATTGTGATTATCAACAAACTTATTAACAAATACACGATTTGGATGTTTTTGGTATGATGCATTTAACATAAAATTACATTTTATACAAGCTGATTCCTGCTCTCTATTTGCTGTAGGATCCAACTTCTTTTTAGACAAATATTTATCCCCATATCGACATTTGTATATTTTTTTGATACAAACATTATTGTCATTTTCAACTTTTACTATTTTTGTTTCGAACCCCATTCGGGTAGAATAACGTTTCAAACACTGATCAAGCAACGCAAAAGAAGTAAAAGTCTGTCCAGTATATATTTCTTTTAATGGGCTATCATCGGGTTTACTTTCTGAATCATCACCTTTATTTATATTATCTTCAACATTTTCGATCCTATTTTCAGAGTTATTACCTTCAAAAATATCACCAGTATCTCTAATTATGGATAAAAGACTACCCTCACTTTCATATTCACCACCTTTAAATACGCTAGTTCCATCGACATATCTGATTACAGGCAAAGTATCAATATCCACATTATCTTCAAGTCAATATAAACTTTTATTATTCATATGATAGTCATTAAAGACTTGGTAAAAATTTCTAATTTCAGACATCTAAAAAAAACTTAGTAATAAAGCTTGAGTTGAAATATCTAAAATTGGAAGGTAAAGTGATATTTACATTATTTTTAGGGTAATACAAAATTTTGTTATTCATATAATAGTCAGTAAAGACTTGGTAAGAATTCTCAATTCCAGGCACCTAAAAAAAACTTAGTTAATAAGAAAACTTGAGTTGAAATGTCTGAAATTGGAAAGTAAAACAATATACATTATTTTCAAAGTAATACGAAATTTCATTATTCATATGATAGTCATCGAAGGTTTGATAAAAATTTCTGATTTTAGACATCTAAAAAAAAACTTGCATTTAGTAATAAGGCTTGAGTTGAAACGTTTAATTAGAAGGTAAAGTGATATCTATATTATTTTCAGAGCAATATGAAATATCATTATTCATATGATAGTCGTCAAAAACTGGGTAAAAATTTCTGGTTTCAGACATTTAAAAAATTTTTAATTAATAACAAAACTTTGAGTTGAAATGTCTGAAGCAAGAATTTTATCATAAAATTAAGAAATCATAGTCTTGAAAAAGATATACAGAAAAACACGCCAGTTATATTAATTACATATAATACTTGAAACGAGATGTAAAAATAAGAACATTACTGTAAAGCAGAAAAGGTTTTAAGGTTTGAAAAAAAGGTACGTGAAAAAAAAACTATAAAGCCTAAAAAGTAACGCGTCAATAACAGAGCAGTAAAAATTCACTTAAGAGTATTGAATCTAACGCAGTTATAAGTATGAAAGAACATGAAGAGTTTATTTTAATTTTTTGTCATGTCACTAATTTAGTCGAAGGTATGATTCTTTCACACCATGCACTTTTCACTTTTAGACGTTAGAAGTAAAAGAGGTTTGATTAATATGCGATTGAATTTCTATTTATTTGTTTGTTATTTAATTTCCGGTCACTCTGATCACTCTTACATCTGTCAGTAAGCGATTTTTGTATATCATACTTTCGTTACAGATATCTGTGTAACCTAAACTATTGTATAATAATATATGAGGAGTATTAATAACCCCATAATTATTTGTGTAACCAAAACTGTGATATGATAATATATAGGGGGGTATTAATAACCCCCAGTGAAAAGATGATTTATACTTAATAAAAACT